CGTCCCTTCTCCTATGCCCTTCCTGCTCCTGCCCCTGCCCACCTTCCCTTAACTCTCCCTGGCCCTCCACCCCTTTGCCCTCTCTAGTACCCCTCCCCCTCTCCCCACGTTCCTTCTGGCCCCTGCCCCGTCGTGCTCCTCCCGGGGCCCTGCCCCACGCCACCCAGGCCCACTCCACTCTCCTGGAATCCAAACACCGGTCTGTTTTCGTTTGCATTTCCTAGAATTATAGATAAAGGGGACTATAGATTAGTTTGCATTTTCTTGAGTTGAATATAAATAAAATCATACAATATATACTTAATTTGGTCTAACCTCTTTCATTCAGCATAATTATTTTGACACATTCATGTTTTTTGAGTGTAACAGTTCATCCCTTGCTAGTGCTGAGTAGTACTCCATTTATGAACATACCATAATGTACTTATCTACTCACCTGTTCGTCGACATGGACATTGTTTCCAACTTTTCCTCATTGGAAATAAAGCTGCTAGGAATATTGCTGTACACATCTATGTAGGGACATGTGCTTTCTTTTCTCTGGGGTAAATACCTGGAAATGGAATGGCTAGGTCATAGGTAGGTGTATCTTTTTAAGAAATTACAAAAATGTTTTCCAAAATGCTAGTTTCCTTTTACATTTCCACCAGCAGGTGTGTGAGTTCCAGTTCCTCTACATCCTCGTCAACACCCGAATATCCAGACTTCTAAATTGTAGCCATTCTAATAGTGTGTGGTGGTGTCTCATTGTGGTTTTATTTTGCATTCCCTAATGACATGATGTTGACATCTTTTTCATATGCTTATCTACAGTGGATTTATTTTCTTTGGTGAAACATCTATTCAAATCTTTTGTCCATTTATTATTGGGCTGTTTTTTATTACTGAATTCTTTATATATTCTGGATACAAATCCTTTATCAAGTATTATGCTTTACAAAGATTTTCTCCCAGTCTGTGGCTTGGTTTTTTTCTTTCTTTTAATAGTGTCTTAGGAAGAGTGGAAGTTTTTAATTTTGATGAAGTTCAGTGTATTGTTTTTCTCTTTTATGGATAATGTTTTTGGTATCATATTTAAGAAATTCTTGCCTAACTCAAGTTTTTCTCCATTTTTTATTCTAAGTTTTATAGGGATTTTTTTTTTGGTTTTACACTTAGGTCTATGATCCATTTTGAGTTAATTTTGTATATGGCCAAGATTTTTGTTTATTTTTAAAATTATTTTTGTTTGTTTTTGCATATGGATATACAATTGTTCCAGCACCATTTGTTGAAAAGACTACCCCTTGTCCACTGAACTGTCTTTGAATATTTGTCAAAAATCTGTTTTCCATCCATGTGTGGGTCTATTTCTGGATATTCTACGCCATTCTGTTAATTGGCTTGTCTATCTTTACATCAGTACCACGATGTTCTGATTACCACATTTCAAATCAGCTTGGTCAGCACTGAATTTTTCTGTTATTTCCCAAGGTGGTTTTGGCTATTTTAGGTCTTTTGTATTTCAACATAAACTTCAGATTCAGCTTAATTTTTACAATTTTGATTGGGATTGCATTCGCTCTATCCATAAATTTGGGGAGGATTGATAGCCTAATAATATTGAATCTTCTGACTCATGTATAAGATATGCCTCTCAATTTATTTAGGTCTTCTTTAGTTTTTCTCAGCAGTGTTTTATAGTTTTCAGTGTGTTATAGGTTTTACACACCTTTTGACAGATTTATCCTGAAATATTTCATATTTTTGATACTAGTGTATTGTTTCACCAATTTCAGTTTCTGATTATTTCTATATGATTTGTATCTTGATCTTGTATTCTTCAACTTTGCTAAACTCATTTATTAGTCGTAGTAACAATTTTATAGATTTTATCAGATTTTCTATGTAGCCAACCACGTCATTTGTGAAGAAGGAATTTTCGCTTTCCTTGCCAATACAGATGCGTTTGATTTCTTTTTCTTTCCTTATTGCACTGGCTACAATCTGTACTATGTTGAGTAGAGGTGCTGAGAATGAACATCCTGATCTTAGAGGGAAAGTGTTCAGCCTTTCACATTAAGTATGAAGATAGCTATAGATATTTTGTAGATACTCTATCAGATAAAGGGAATTCCCATCTATTTGTAGTCTGCTGAGAGGTTTTTATCAGGAAAGGATGTTGGATTTTTATTAAATGCTTTCTCTGCAGCAATTAAGATAATCATATGGTTTTTTCTTTCTATTTTATTGAATGATTTTCAAATATTAAACCAATTTAGTATTCCTGGCAAAAACCCAACTTTATCTGTTTTATTGTCCATTATAAATATTGTAAGATGTCATGAATTAAAATTTTGTGTAGAGTTTTTGTATCTATGATCACGAGAGATAGTGGTCTACAATGCTGTTTTTCTTTTTCTTGTAATGTTTGTCTGGTTTTGTATGAGTGATAAAGAAACCGATTCAGATCCAGGGAAGTTAAGTAGCATGTCCATGGTCACACTACTAGTTAGTGGAAGAGTGTGTAAAGTCCCCCTAAAATTTAGAATTTAGAAACTATAAAGGAATAGCAGACCTTTAACCTACGCATCTTCACTCCCCAATCACAAAGTTAAGAAATGAATTTAACTTGTGACATTGTGAAAAAACATGGATTCTGCACTAAGACCCAATTCAGAAGATCTTACATTTAAAAGAAGCATGACCTTGATCAAGTATTCAATACGTTTCAGCTTCAATTTTCTTATCCCTAAAATTGGGTTATTATGAGGATAAGAGACGGTATACATTTAAAAACATAACAAACTCTCTGGCACATGATTGGTTTTAATAAATATTACTTATTGTTATGAAGATTTAATTGGGAAGACAGTGATGGGTAAACAGAATTGATAACCAACCCATGTCTGCATTTCTGTGCATCCCACACTCCCAGTAAGATATTCAAAATACTGAGGAAGTACCTCCCTCCCTCCTGCTATTCTCAACCCTGCTGTGAGAACTCTTGCCTCATCTTTGCTCAGGCCCTTTCTGGTCTTGAAACGCCCCCTCTGCCCACCATCATTTTGTCTAAATCCAATTTAACCATTAAGACCACGAACTAATCTCTAATTAGCTGTATCATCTTAGCCTGAACAAAACACAACTTTTGCTCTCCTTTTTTCTTTATGCCTGGAAATTAGTCATGGTGGCTAGAGCACTAGCAAACTTCTGGTATTTATGATGATGAGACCCACACTCTGATATTAAAGAAGTAGATATCAGGAAGGGACCTGGGTGCTTGGTGACACTGTGGAATCAATATAATGGCCCTGGATCTCCTACCTTCAGATTTCCCATTACAGGAGAGACAAATCCATATTTTCATTAAACTACTGCTATTTGGGTTTCCTGTTGCACTTTATGTCTGGTGTCCTGAATTTGATTGCGAGAATCTCCTGAAAAGGCAAGATTCTGTAACTTTTCTCTTTGTGTAGTTAACATACTTCTGTGCAGACAAAAGTGTACAAGAAACAATTGTTTATAATAAAATCCTAGAAAATGGGAGATTGGTTCAAAAGCCAACTCACTTTTCCTTACCAAAAAACCCCACTCAGTGAAGTGTGATGTAATGGAATAAGCTTTGCACATTCTGTCCCCACTGAAGAAACCATATGCCCAAAGTTCAACATCAATGATCTTTGTTTTCCTACTACAATCCTAGAAAATTCCTAGAAATAAACTAACTGGGATATACCTACCATTTGTAAAAGAGAACTTTAAAGTGTTAAAGGCAGCAAATGAAGATTTGAATAAATGGTGTGATAGAAAAAGTGTACAATGAGATAGGCCCTGGGTTTTGTTTTCAGCTATTCCCCTAACCAGATACGGGTTTGGGGGCCTTGGTTTGACCATCTGTCTCTGGGCCTTGGGTTGAT